ACAAGTTTATGCCCTTAAAATGCAAAAAACAGTCACGAGGAACCATTTAAACCATTATACGTAACTTTGTTGGGCTACAGTGACAATAACCCTATGTTAAAATGTCATACTATATTAAAAGACAGAGAAACCAAAAAGGAGAGAAGAAGAAGAAAATGGTTATTGGTTGATTTATCCCGTTGAGTCATGTTATCGTTACCACATCTTATACTATATTTTTTGGAGGTGATGTACATAGTATTATCAATTATAACTAAGTTTGGACTGCCAACTCAACCATAATAACATGTGATGACCATAAGATATGGTTTAATGGATCTTATTTTTAGAAATTACAAAAAGTTAGAGATGTTTGGGATTGCTTTTTCAACATTGAAAAAATTGTGTAAAAATGTTTGTTGATTTATTGTGATACTAAAACAAACTTTAAAAACAATATTCAATAAATTTTTAAGACAATAAAAAAAATTGTGTAAAAATGTTTGTTGATTTATTGTGATACTAAAACAAACTTTAAAAACAATATTCAATAAATTTTTAAGACAATAAAAATTAATAAGATAGTAAGTTAAAAAATATTTAATTTAAAATTATGGTAATTTTTTTTATTTATTATTAACGAGAATGGTTTTAAATATGGTTAGGTTTTACATGGTTTTTTATAATCTTTTTTTAAAGCTAATGAAAAAATTATTCTAAAAGTGTTTTTGAGTTTGCCAAATATTTTTTTGATTTATTAATTTTTTTAAAATCCAGTAAATCAATAAATTATTTTGAAGAACAATTCCAAACAATTACTTTACCTTATTGGTTTTTTAAAAAGTTAATAAATCAAATAAGTCGTTTTGAGAAACAATTCTAAACACTCTTTCAACATAAACGCCGTTAATTAGTAGGAGTCTAGTTTTTAATTTGGAGTCATCATTTTTATGGTGTTTTCTCAAGCATTAGTGTTTTTCCCTCTCATAACATTGTTATCCCCATAGTTTAAAGGGTTTATTGAAATTCATAATTGTCTATCACATAGTTGTTTGCTACATCAAAGCTTCCTTAAATTCGATTATTTCTCTTAAAAGCTATAAAAAGGACTATGAGAAAGCATGGAATAAAAGAAACTAAGGTATATGATTTGTTTTTTTTTTTTTTCAATATCGTGACTTAATATAAAAAAAAAATGAAATTACAGTGCTTCAATACAAATAAATGGGAATATAATGCCATTATAACATCTTTTATCATTTCTCTCTGTCGAAGCAACGATCTTCCGGTTTTTCTTTCTCAAAGACAATAAAAAATATGAGAGAATATGAAAAAAAGGAAATTAAAGTAGAATGCTACGGTTTGGTTAAATTTTCAAAGTATAATCTCATAATAAAAAAAAAGTAAAACAACAGGGCATTAATATAAATAAATGGAAGTTGAATACTTTATATGATTATATCATCTATTGCGATATTTATCCATTAGAGCAACGTAAGTACTCTCGTTTTTTCTTAAAACTAATTCAACAAAAAATTTCAAGCATATCTTTTATTTTCGTTTTTATAAAGTTTTTTACCTCTTGGATTTTTAAGGGACATAAGATGTGGAAGCTTGATTGGATGTCTAAACTTGGTTGTAGTTCCTCAAATTTCTGGACACGGTACTATATGCCAAAAAACTAGGATTATTTTCAGGATTTTCTAAAGAGTTGGTTCAGATTTTTCAATTGGAACCACTGAGGGAGGAGGACTTCAAACTCTTAGGGAAATGGATTGTTATAGTTGAAAGCTTGAATAAAGAGGCATTGAGACCTATTTTAAAACTAAAGGATGTTGGATTCGCAAGTGTAGTTTTCTTCATTTCTTTTCCCATTTTATAGCGAACTCACCAACTTTAGTTTTCATTTACATATGATGGAAAAGTCCCACCTTGAAATGGCAACTATCAAACCTCTTGCAAATTAAAAAATGTAAACCATTGCATTATTTCATTATGAAAACAACATAATATTCATAAATGGTTACGTAAAGTTGGGTGTAGTTGATTCCCTTGAAAACCATTAAATTTTAGTCGATCTCCCTTGAAAACTCTCTTATGGAAAGTAGTAAAAGTTAGGCTAAATGCAAGAAAGTATGTTGTCATTTATGGAATCAATCCATCGAGATCAACAAATTCCATTTTGTCGTGATGTGAAGTGATAGTTTTTTTTTCAACAAAATACTTTTTTTATAGTGGGCTAATTACCCATCAATAAATAAAGTTTCTTTCAACTACTGGTTTTCTTTCGGTATTTTTTTTTTTTTTTTTTTTTTTTTTTTTTTTCAAAAATAAGTCATTGAAATCAAAGTATCAAAGTGGAAGATGCAGGAAATCACATCCTCTTCTGAGTCTTCCCTTAGACATTGAGTGTACCCATGCACAAACTTAAACAAACCCGACTTCCAGCTACGATGCTTGTGGATTTCGGCCTTCAATTTTTGACTTTCCATCTTTAAAGAAACACGTAAGGCCTGTTTTGGAGTTTAATTGTAAAGTCTTACAATTATTATTCATAAAACATCGAAAAAGTATACTAATTTGATCAAAACTGGAGTTGTATACCATGTGTTTTAGGTGAAGTAAAGTAATCAATGTTATTATTATTAGATAAATATGATGTTCAATATACAACACAATATGCATAGAGTACAAGTATTGGTGTGGTGTGACGATGATGTGACAAATAATGCATCAACACAAACCATTTAAAAGGCCAACAATTTATTATAGGACCTAATGTTAAATCAGTGACTTGTTTTCTGGTCAAAAGTTTATAAATCCTTTTAATATCTAGTACTAATAGTAATAGTAATCGACATGATAAACGCACTCTAGTAAGGCTTCACATTTATTCCTACATAATAATGCATGTCATGTCATGTCCTCATGACTCAAGTAGATACAAGTTGTTTGCCTTCAACTTTAGCAAGACCGAAATCAGAAAGCTTTGCATTGTATTTTATTCCTGATAAATTAAATCATACATACAATAGACCAAAAGCCTACAATAATACATTATACATGCAAATATTAACATCCCCACAATAGCATTTGTTGCTTTGTTTATTCTAGCACCAAACTTCAATTTCTTCCTTCATAACATTTATCTAAATACAAAACAATTTTTCATAGCTATAACCAGATAGATTTTTCAAAGTAAAAAGGTTAGAATAAAAAGATTTAGAAACTACAGTTCTATAATAACATAAACTTTTTAAAGTATCACTCCCTGCATTTAGGGTGCAAAACAAGGATAGAAAGTTACTCAACATTTTTATTCTTACTTAAATAAAGATAGGAATAATTTTTTGAAACTAATTCAAATTGTTTTTAATAACACACAGTCTTGAATGTGTAACATAACATTGTCCAGCAAAATTGGTAAAAATATGAGAATCTGGTTTCCTAGCATTATTAAGTTAAGTATATAGGTAAATGACTATAAACAAACTTCCTTCATATTTGTTTAATTTCCTCCTGTAATAGCATTGTACATTTACCCAGTTATAGCAAAATCATACAAATACCAAAAAAAGAAAAAAAAAATCTGGTTATTGTACCTTGGGAGAGGCTAGACTCTCCAAGTATTAGGGTTTTATTGTGTTCTCTTGGTATTTTGAGTGAATCATTGATAAGCCCCAACTCAACTTTTACTGGTTTATAGCCTAAGGGTATAAGGGTAGAATTGTCCTTTTAATTAAGTATCCATAGGTTGTTATCTGTGAGTGGGACAGGAATTGTGGGGGGCAACATTTTGTTGTCTGTTGTGTCCTTGGGTCCTTCTGTCTCAGTCTGTCTAGGTATTTAGTAGTAGAAGGTATATGTTATAGAACTTTGTTCTTCTTCTTCATGGAATTATCTTAATATTATCAGGTATTTTTTTAGTGTGAGTGTTAGAAATAATGTTTGAGTTATCTAATAGATTGAACAAGGGTCTATCAATCATTGAATATAGTGAAGCTTTTGTATATCTGTTCTTGTTTTGTTGATTTCATTCTATAAGTGAATCCATACCAATTGGGATCTCTCAAAAGTCAAAATCAACGTCAAGATGGGTGAGAACATCCTTGATTGCTTGTGTTTTTTGTTGATGCAATTGGAGAACAACGACAGATAGTTTGTTGAAGGCTGAAGAGGTTGAATGGATGCCTATCGTCTTGAATCAATCAGAAGAAAGTATTTTATGTGTTTTTTGTGAATGGTAATGGGGCTTAACTTTAGGTCTATTTTCCCTGTTCTCAATGGATGCAGAAACCAACAACCTTGGTAGATTGGGATGTGAGAAGTAAAGGGTTACTTGTAACTTTTCTTCAATCTCACCTATTTTATATTTTATATTAATATTATATAGATAGAGTAGAAAGAAGGAGTCAGAGAAAGGGTTCTGGGTATATTACCCAATCAACTCATTTCTTTATGCTCTTCCCAGCTTTATCCTACACCAAAATAAATTTGTTAGAAAATTGATTCTCTAACTATATACCAAATTAAACCACCATAAATAAAAAGATTTGATGAAAGAAAGGTAAGTAGGTAGGGAGAACGTTGATTCTTCTTCTCCTTCGTAGCTTCAAGTTTTTGCTGCTCTTCCCATTATATATATCCTAAAAAAATAGATTTGATATGAGGCTTAACTACATATCTTTTTATGTTGATTGAAGAGAGGTTGCAATTTCATAATATGTGGAGCTTTCATGCATAGTAACATACTTTGCAAAACGAAATTCTACACCCAACACAATTAGCAAGTCCATAAAACATCTATTAAAATTCAAAATCAGTGTAAAGGACAAAAGGCAACATCAGTGAACCCAAAATTTAATTTCTAATGTAACAAAACATCTTTAAGCACATCACACTTACCTCAATCTCAATGAAGAAAAACTGTGTCATTTCGTCTAGGTGGTTTATCAGGAATGGATCCAGGCTTGAACTTTGAAGCCTCATGCCTAGCAAGTTCAGGAGGCACATGACTGTTGCTATGTGTCAGCATCTGCTTCAAATCATAAAAGACATCAGTATCATGAAGAGTCAAGAATGTTGTAGCTATACCTGTCTTCCCTGCACGACCTGTACGCCCTATTCGATGAGTATACATTTCAATTTTTCCAGGCATGTCATAGTTTATCACACGAGCCACATCAGGTATATCAATCCCACGCCCTGCAACATCAGTGGCAACTAATACATTGAATCTTTTTGTCCTGAAACCTTCAAGACCCGTTTCCCTCTGTTCTTGTGACTTGCCACCACGCAACGTTGTCACACAGTAACCTGACTTTTCCAGTTTCTTGGATACATGGTCAGCGGTTATTTTAGTGTTAACAAAAACAATGACTTTCTTATCCACAAGTTCATCAAGCAATTCTTGAAGCCTAGGCATTTTCTCTGATTCCTTTACCATCATAACATGTTGTGTAATGAGATCGTTTGCCTTTCCTGCAGTTCCAACTGTAACAATAACGGGGTTTCTCAAGTATTTCCTGGCTAGTCTCTCCACAGCTGGAGGCATGGTGGCACTGAACATATAAGTGGTTCTGTAGATTCTTTTCTCATCAAGTTCTTCATCTTCATTCTCGGGTTTGAAGTTGCTTGATGGCATTGCATCCAGAATCTCTACAACTTGGGGCTCCATACCCATGTCAATCATACGGTCAGCCTCATCAAGAACAACATAATTACACTGGTTTAGAACAGCATATTGGCTCTTCAGGCAATCCTTAAGACGCCCAGGTGTAGCAATCACAACTTCACACCCTTGGCTAATCTTAAATGCTTGATCATCAATTGAACGTCCACCAACAATGGAAACAACTTTGATGCCTAGATAATTTGCAAACTTCAGTCTCTTCCTCAATTTGCTGTGCGAGTTCTCTGGAAGGTGCCATGACAACTGCATATGGTCCCTCGTCCTTGTTTTCTTCACTTATAGGAGGGAGTCTGGTGATGTAAGTCAACATTGGAAGAACAAAGGCAGCTGTTTTACCTGAACCAGTCTCGGCAACCCCAATCACATCTCTTTGCTGGAGACCAAGAGGAATGGCAGCCATTTGAATGGGAGATGGGGTCTTGTAACCAGCCCTCTCAACAGCTTTCAATAGCTCATTGCTCAGTTTACTTTCAACCCAACTCCTCATAGGCCTGGGAATTCTGGAACCTTTGTAAGATATGTTGAAATCTTCCCTAAAGATCCTCCAATCTCTCTCTGTCATTTCCTCTAGTTTCTTCTCAGACCAGTGGCGATCCACTCTCATGTCGAATGTATCGTACATGGCAGCAGCCTCTTCTGGCCTTTCCTCAATCCCATCTTTCTTCCTAATCTTGTCTCTCAACTCTTTCTCGTTCTTTGCGGCTAATTTTTTCTGCTCCCTGCGATCCATGCCAGCGCGGAAACCTCTTCCGAACAGAAGACGAGCCTCGTGAGAGTTTTGATAGAGAATATTCATATCACGAGAAGTGTCCTCGGTGTTCTCCCAATCGAAGGAAAAACGGAACTTATCGCTGGGTTTAATAACCCTTTTCTTAGGTTTCTTCGATCCCAAGTACTGCTCCTTGATGGCATCAAGCTCCTTCTCGCGCTCTCGCTCTGCAAGCTTCTCTAAACAAGCTCTTTCCCTAGCCTTGTTCTCTTCATCACGTTGTCTATCGCGGTTCCGCCGCTCAGAATCGCGTTCCCTTTCCCTCTCCCGTTCCCTGTCCGTATCTCTATCTCTGTCACGGCGATAACAGTCACGATCGTAATCACGAGAGGACCGGTTGTTACGGGAAGCGTCGTCGGACGATGGAGGGGGTTTAGAGGAGGAAGAATTACGGTTGCTCTGGAGGAGAAGCTGGCCGGATTGGCGCTTCCGTTCTTCAAATTCATCTTGGCGACGCTTGAGGGCTAATTGTTCTCGCTCTGATTTACTGAGAAATACGGGTTTCTTTGCCTGCAGTTTCTCACCTATGTCACCGATAGAACGCTTCATGGTTTAACCGAAGCTTAGAATGATTATATTCAAGAGCTATTACTTCGCTTTGCAGGGCAGGAGGTAGAGAAGGGGGAATTTGGGCTACTAATATGTGACGGTTAGTCGGTTAGGTTTCGTGTGGGTCAATGCTGACAAGGTTTCGTGTGGGCCAAGAAAAACAATTAAAAATATCCAAAATAAATAAATAAGAGTAAATTACACATTTTGTCCATGTGGTTTTCCTTAATTCCAACTATGGGTACTAGTATTAATTTTGCAACATGAAAGGTTCTTATAGTTTGTTTTTATTGCATTGGATGTCCCTCAACCTAATTCCCGTTTATTTCCACCGTTAAAGAGAGGCATGTAGCCCTCACGTGAGTGCAAAACAATCATTTCCTTTTTGGGACCATCTTAAGTATAATTACAAGGCATATAAAAGCTTCATTACCTATCCTCTTCATCTCTTTCTTCATTTGTCTCTTTTTATTACTGTTTCACGAAGCTATTTCAGGGTTCCTTAGGTTCATGAATGAACTCCAACAAGCAGCTGTAGATGCTAAAATAATGCAAGTATATGTGCTTTGGTTCTTGGGTTTTCTTCATTGTTGCAAGGTTATGTAACCTCCCCAAAATACCGAGTAAAAATTTCATTTTAAATAAGTCAATACCATACATACATTGTTCCAAAAGGCGATCAGAGTCAAAGTATTCTCAAAACATCGAAGTAAAATCATAAACAATCAAGAATAGATCTCCAGAGGATGTAGTATAATCAAGTTGGACCCTTCCTTTTGAAACCAGAAGTACCTGAAAACATTTTAAACATAAACCATAAGCACAAAACTTAGTGAGTTTCCTAAAATACCACATACCATAAAAAAGGGGCTCATCCCAACATATAAATAAATGGGCCCATCCTAACATATATAAATGGGCCAAACCCAACATAACAATGGGTTCAGTCCAACATAAAAATAGGCCCAACCCAACATATAAATTGGCCTAACCAAAGATACCAATAGGCCTAATCCAACATACAAATGGGTCCAACCCACCATAAACATGCGAGAGTAATAAAGACAACTAACACAATCCAATGAGTCAGCATTGGTGCCTTCTACCTATGAGTATAGTGAGAAGACTCACCTGAACTACTCAATAGAAGCTCAATAGCTACCTCAACAACAGAACAACCATTCCAAGATACCTAACGCCAAACTGAGATCAATCCTTAGTTAAATGCTCAATTTTTCCCAAGTTTGACCAAAATTAAAATGGTTAAAAAGTCAACGGTCAAAAATCTCACAGTGGGCCGCCACGTCGTGACCAAGCTTTTGTCACGTCATGGTGGCCTCAAGACAAAATAGTCGTTGAGACCACCCCTTCCTCACGTCGTGAAGGCAAATCCTTCACGTCGTGAGAACAACTCTAGCCTTCTTAATGCATTAAGCTCTTAATCCTTTAACCCACTCATCCATACTTTCCAGAAGGCTCTCATACACCCAAATGTAACATAAAAATCCTTACTTTATGATCATGCATGTCCAATACATGTCCTTTCCAACATTAGGTCAAAAAGGGGTAAGAAATGGGTTAATCTCATGCATGACATCAAAACTACTTGTGAGTCCAAATTTGAAGCATACAATGTTTGTAGGACCTTGGAGAGTAATAAAGTTGCAAACTTTATTCCCAACTTTCACTCAAAACTCATTAAGATGGGCCAAAACACCAAAAACACTTCGATCCAAAGATGAAATGCAATACATATTGGAACTTTACAACTTACAAAGGTCTAGAAGGCAGATGAAAGTTGAGATCTTCAATTGCCAAGATTCAAGGATCAATCTTGCATGAAAGCATTGCTCCAAAACCACCAAAAACTCTAAAAATGGATGATAGAGGAGAATTGAGGCTCAAAATAGAGAACAGAAGGCTAGGGTTTCTCTCAAAAGGCTTTAGGTGTGATGGAAGGTGGAAAATATCCCAAAAACACGAAATCACCCTTTAAATACCTAGAAAACCCTAAAGTTCATAGGCTTGGGTTGCCCGGTTCTCACCACGTGACAATAGGTTTTCACCCAATTCTATTCCAACTTCAAAACAATCATAACTTCTTCATTTCAACTCTGTTTTCAGCAATTTTTATATGCACGGTAATGTATTGATGAGCCCAACAACCTTGTCTAATTAATTTTGACTTAATACATGTCGAACTAAAACCATAATCCATACGAGAAGCCCAGAATATTACTTTTCCCATTTTAACCTTTTTCTTCAAAGCACAAATTGAAGGCTTTAATCACTTAACCAAAATTATCAACATCCAATAAGGTCTAAATGCTATTCCTATGAAGCTCAAGGCATTTACTCGATTCATTTATAGACCACAATCCCAAAATAAGAAACTTCTTGAAACAAGATGTTACATGTTATCTAGCATCTTATGAAGATTAGGTATATGTGGGGGATGTATGTTTTTGGAGGGAAAATCGATTTTGTTGTTGAAATTGTAACAAATGTCACTAGTCGTATGGGATGTTTATCAATTTTAAAGTGTTTATGAATGTCTTTTTGGAATCAGTTGAATTGTAAATGGAAATCATGTTGTGGTGACTTAATTATGAACTTATTTGTATTTACAATTGTTGAATTCATATGGGTAATATGTTGTTGTGGTGTTTATGAAAAGTAACGAAGCGGTGACTGTATTATGAACAAAACATGATAAATTTAAGCAATTTGTCAATAATGTATACATTAGGCATTAAATTGACCATTCCATAAATTAGTCAAAAACTTGTCAACAATGTCAGGTTTTGTGACCATAGTGGTAGTAGCATGAGTATACCAATGTAAACAAGGAAAAAGTAAAAAAATGTAAGCCGCAACAATATTGTGCAAAAGACAAGCATACAATATATAGATAAGTTAGTTAAACATTTAGCTAAAAAAGGATAGTTTTAACCTTGTTAACAAAGGAATCCATAAGTTAATTATCCTATCAAACCAAAAGACTATAGATTATGACATAAGTGTAACATCCCAAAAATCATAAGCAAAAAATTTCTTTTTTAATTCAACCAAAAACCATCAAATATTCGTTGAACCATCCAGAAGTATGTAAAGTAAAACTAGTTATCAGAGTACAATCTCAAAAATCATAAAAGTGATGAAACATGGGTAGATGCACTCCTATCAAGTCGGGCTCCTCCCTTTCAAACCGGAAGTACTTGAAACGTAAACTTAAACCGTAAGCACAAGGCTTAGTGAGCTTACCCAAAATACCACATAACATACATACAATGGGCCTCGCCCGACATCCATTGGGCCCCGCCTAATACATATCTTTCTGTAACATGCAATTGGCCCCACCCAACACACTTGTAACACTCTAAAAGTCAAAGAAATTCACAATTTTCAAAATCAACCATTAACCAACATTGTTTACAAACAGAGCCATTGTTTCAAAAACATTATATCAAAATCAGAGTTTTCCCAAGACCCAGTGACATAAAACAGGAAGATGTGCACAATCATGCTTTTTCTTTCCCACGGTCCTTAGAAGTACCTGAAACAATGAACTAAAAACTATAAGCCAAAGATTAGTGAGTTCCCCCAAAGTACCAACACACCACATAACAAACAAGCTACAAATATGAGCAACCAGCCTGATTGGACCGCATTGTCAGGCCTATAGCCTATCTATATCTATCTATGAGCCTTCGGCATGACTGGACCACCTCGCAGGGCCTACAACCTATCCAGACCGCTCTACGAGTTGTCGGCCTAACTGGACCGCCTCACAGGGCCTACAGCCTATCTGATCATCCCTGAGTGTCTTGGCCTACAACACAAAGAAGGACCGCCTCAACCCAAACACAATATGTCGACATATGTAACAGATAAACATAAACACAGATCCAACAAATACAGATAATCATATAGAGGCTGCTAAAATGACCTAAAATCCAGAACAAGGACGTTAAATACGATTTAAACCCTAATTTTATGGGATTAAGCTGCACAACTCACCATGCCATGTAACACTTCACTTAATCCATTTCAACTTCAAACAGTCATAACTTCTTCATTCCTAATCCGTTTTTAGTGATCATTATATGCACATGAAGGTCTGAACAAGCCCCCAAATTCTATCAAATTTCTTTTGACTTAATATATACCAATCTAAATCCATTAATTCATGCAAGAATCCCAAAATATCACTTTTCCCCTTTCTACCCTTCTAGCTCCAAAGCACAATTCAAGGGCCTAAGTCATTTAACCAATATTATCAACATCTAATAAGGTCTAAACTTTATTCCGTTAAATCCTAAGACCTTTATGCGATTAGATTACGGTCTGCTATCCCAAAATCACAAACATCCCGAAACTGGACGTTACAACTCTCTAATGTTGTTTAGTAAATTATATGTATGTGGTCTCCCTGATATTTTTGAAAGCATAATAAAACAAAGTTTAAATTATAAGTTTATCCATTTCTTAAAGTATTTGTAATTGAAAGCTTCACAAATGTAGTTTAGCTATACGTATGTGGTATCCTTGATATTTTTGAAAGCATAATAAACCAACCATGTAATCAGTTTCAACATGGTTGACATGTAAAGTAAGAGTGTTTAATAAACTAATATGAAAGGAACTGCTTTATACTAAAGGAATGGCTCCTAGCATAGTGCTTTGGTGGTATATTTTTCAACCATTCATGAGTTGCAAGGTTTAATCTCTTAAGTTCCTCCATAGCCTTTGTAAAGTAGGAAATAGTCATTACGGTGACACATCTATACAGTAGTCTTGTAACAACCATAAAGCTCAAGCCAATTTAAAATTTTTAAAACATTTCAAAACCATTAAGCATTACAAAATTTGTTTTCAAAATAGTATAATATCAAAGTATCCTAGAAACAAAGTCATAAACAAGGGGAGCTGTACGATCACGCCTTTTCCTTCCCGCGATCATCTAAGGCACCTAAAACTGAAACTGAAATTGTAAGCCC